AACCCACAAATTTACCCACTTAGCGAGAATAAATATTCATCCATGGAAGAAGAAGGAAAAAAGAAACGAAGAGTGCAATCGAGCGTTTTTAACATGAACTTCACAGCATTCAACAAATGGCTAAAGCTCGAGGATATGATTCTCAAGCCCAAGGTTTACCGATATATTCAGGTTGCTCCGGCAGAGTTTACCAAAAGAATCATAAAGGAGAAAGGGGTTCCACTCATGCTTATGGTTACAAGGATCATAACAAGTTGAACATCAGATTTTCGGAAAAATGGTTCAGTTCTTTTGCAAGTATGAGACCTAACTTGAGGACCCAAGGAACCAAATTTTGATTTAAATGTAGAAAGCTTTCACCCGAATAGACTCGAAGATACAGGTGTAGTATTTTCACTCGGCTTTGTCGTTTTCAAGGACATAATCTCCATCAAACATTCCCCGCAGCTTACTCCTCAATTACAGGCAGTTCGAAGTCTGCAGCTGATAGACTCTTGGTCCTTTCTTTAAAAGAAAACCTTGGTTGTTCAGAGAGTAAACAAAGTCATCAAAACTACGAATCTGCAGTCGTAGATCCTATCAAAAGTAGACATGAAAACAAAGTGTTCTTTGAATTCAAGAGTTTTTCTTTTAAAAGAGATCCCTCTGAGAGGATCATTCAAGGAAAAGTGAGTGGTAAACCTAAAATCTTGATAAAAATCATCGAGAACCCACTGGCTCGTTGAATGTAATCTCTTTAGTAATGATATGAATAATATTTTATGATAAATATAGAAAAGAGTGCAATCTCTTCAAGTGAGGAACACGCGGAAAAGGCTCTCACAAATTAAATAGCATCGATACGAGAAGCCAAAGTACTCACGTCCGAATGCTATGTATCCTTTAAAAATTTAGCATTTTTAAAGACAAGTCGGGATTAAATCAGAACGTCCCGGTTACCTTCGCTATCCTTCTCATTTGTTCAACGCTGAAAAGTGAGTTGTATTCCCTATCTGATATGCGACTCAGCTCTGCAACAAAGCGTTTGGACTGCAAGATAAAAAAAAATCAGATTTCCCCTTAACAAACTGAGATAAAGCGTC